TAACTTTTGAAAGAATAAAACTGGGAAACTCAAACTACCTGACCGCAATGCTTTTATAAAGTTAAATAATCAAGACAGCGGCATTAATTTAAAGGTAGACAGCTGGATCAGGGAGGAGGTATTGTTTCTATCACTTCAGATAAAAAACTAACTCAAATGAATCGCAGATATTACATTTCTATAGGCAAACATAGTAGAGCTGGGTGTAGTAGCTAGTACTCTTAATCCCAGCATTTGGGAAATGGAAGCAGTTAGGTCTCTGTGAGTTAGAGACCAGCCCGATCAACATAGCGAGTTCTTGGACAGTCAGAGCCATAAATGAGACCCCATCTCAAAAAAATATCTAAGAGATATTAGAATCAGTATGGGAAAAGTATAAGCTACGGAGAGCAAATCCTGGCAAGGGGAACTTCTTCACTCAGGAAGGAAGGTGCGGCTCCCACACTGCTTCATACACTCCTAAACTTTCAACTTTGCTCTGATCGATAGATGTGTGGTGCCCACCACAAGCTCTCTTACATGCACCCATGGCTATACTCAGACAGAAACACGGCCATACCGAGCTGCTGTTCAAATGGGGACCCAATCCCAGGGGCAGCAGGAGAAGCACCAAGTGGCCAAGCAATTGGCCATCAGATGACAGACAGACAGTCTGTTCCCCCAGGTGGGAGACACACACGACGTGAATCAGAGCTAGCGCTCCAGAATTGAAGACAGCAGACTGCATCTTCACTAGGAATGACTTAGAATCCTGAAATATCTCCAGAGATGGAAAAGACAGAAACCTACTTGCCCTTGAGCCCTAACGTTTTCTCCTCGCTTCTCCATAGGCTAGGATGATGCTGATGTGGGTGGTACAGCCTGTAATCCCAGCACCTGGGAGGTGGAGGCAGAAGGACCAGGATCTCAACATCGTCTTCAACTACACAGCAAGTTCTAGGCTAGCCTGGAGTACTTAAAGAACCCGCCTTAAAACTGGGCCTGGTGGCACTCACCTTTAATCCCAGTACTTGGCAGGGCAGAGACAGGTGGATTTCATTGAATTCCAGATCAGCCTAGTCTGCAGAGCAAGTTCCAAAAATCTATCAGTCAATACATAAGTAAGTAAATGGAGAGCTGGCTAGGAACTATTGTACTCACCCACGTTAACTGCCTTAACTCTCCCAGCCATTCCCATAAGAAACAGTGGCCTTATCTATATGGGAAGTAGAAAAAGACAAGATCTCCTGAGCAAATTGGGAGCATGGGAACCACAGGAGAGGGTTGAAAGAAAGGGCAGAGGCAGGGAGGGAAGCAGAGAAAAATGTAGAGTTCAATAAAAATCAGAGAAAGAAAGAGAGAGAGAGAAAAGAAAGAAAGAAAGAAAGAAAGAAAGAAAGAAAGGAACGATGGCCTGTTGTGTAGGCCGACACTTAGTGGAATTCATAGTCCTATGAGGCTTTGACAGCCAAGCGGCCTCGCTGGAAACTCGGTCTCTCCTGGGGATATTTCATCATTCTGAGAGGTTGTTTAGTCTCAGCAAGGAGCACACTGACTTCCCTTGGCCCAGTGACGAGTAACCCATATATTTATACGATTAGTCCTTGAAGTTTGAAATTAGCTTGGTAACATCCACTACGTTGTCTTTTCCAGCTGCAACACAGGTTGATTAAAGGCAGCCGCTTGTGTGTGTACTTTGTGTCCATTTCCACTGTCACAGCCTGAAGCGGTCCGTATGTGCTATCTAGGGGAGCCTCAGGTGTTCACAGTCAATTATGGTAAGTTCGGGCCAATCTCACTCAAACAATCCTGCCAAAGAATCAAAGTGAATCAAAGCAAATTGCATCTCTGGAAGGTTCCAAGTCAAGGCCACAAATGCGGCAAACAACCTTCCACGTGTCCCAATTCCTATCACGTCTGCACTCAGTTCCCCAATTTGGTGCAAAAAATGGGATTTAGAGAGTTTATCAAGGATTTAATCAAGTAGCAAGCCCAGTGACAACTTTTTCTGATGTCGTCTTCTTGATGGAATGAATACACAGAGCCCCTGGTCCCTACGGTAGTCTGTTGATTCTAACAAATGAATTGGTCTCCATTCTGATGAACAGGAAAGGCCAGAAGCAATTATGTTACCCACAGCTGGGGTCTGGGCTGGATGTTTCCAGGTTCTTGGCTTTTTATTCAAAGGACTGACATAAAGGCTTATATAGATTTGTGAAAATAGCAAGCGACTTAATCCAAAGTGAAGCTATAGCACAGATTAGGCAGGGATACTACCAAGATTGACAGTGAACCCCAGAATACTCAAGGGACCCCATTATTGTTTGAGGTTTCCTTTTATGGGGCTCAAGAGAGGGAAGAGTTGGATTGCGTGGTTCTCTGCTTTGATTGGTAGATTATGTCATGTTATCATTTTCCTACTGTGCTTATCCCTTCCCATAATACACCTGATTTTAATCCTACACATGTCTATGTATGCACAGGCCTAAGATGGTGGGATTCTCTCTAAGTTTCCTTGAGGACAGTTTTGCCTTGGTGCACATGTCCCCGAGACCAGTGCAGACTTGATCAGCCTTTCCATTCTTTCCTGACACATTGAGAATATATCTGAACAGAAACAAAGTTTGATTGCTGTTGGGTAGGAGAAACTTGTCCCATTGTGCGGAGATGGGTGGACATGTAGCTCAATTAGGTGAGCACCTGAGGTTGCCAGGTGCGTTGCTCAAAGAGGTGTCTATGTACAGGTAAAGGAGCTAGGCTGCCCACTGAATCATTGAGTGGTGTGAGTGTGAATATAATTCAAGCCGAGTCCGGGTTACTAACGATCCCCTACGCTTGCCTGCCCTAATTGGGTTTGAACTGACAGGATTAGTTCAGAAGAGGGCCTTGTTACCTTTAGTGATTCAGAGAAACTGCAGAGCTAGGATTACCTGAGATCAAATCCTGGCTCTGGACAATTTACTAGCTGTGTGTTCTTAGGAGAATTAAACTCTCTGTGCCTCGGTCCCCTCATCTGGAAAGCAGGGTTTAACAGTGCCTACCTCCAAGGGTTATGAGGATCAGCAGGATGGTTCAGTGGGGGAAGGTGCTTGCTATGCCATCAAGGCCTGATGACCTGGGTTCAGTCCCCTCGGACCCACATGGTGAGAGGAAAGACATGCTCCCAAAAGTTGTTTCCTGAATTCCACATGTGATCTGTTGTATAAAGGTGCCATTGTGTGTGTGTGCATGCACACACAACACACACACACACACACTATAATTGAATTTTTCTTAAAAGAATTATGAGTTAAATGGGTTAATATAATGAAGTATTTAAGGAACACCTTGCATCCAATGGCTATAAATACTGGCTTGTCATCTAACAGGAAAGTAAATACATCTTTGGGGAGCTTGACTAACTTACCATCCCTCAAGAGATGGTTCTAGCTCAATACAGGTACATCCTCTAACGGAATGTAGCTAGTGCATCACTGCATCATGGTGTGGTCCCCAGAACTGTCACTATAAAACTCCTACTCTATTCTCCCCTGGACTGCCCAACTTTCTCCTCTAGCACTGTCTGTGTGACCTCCCAGCTCAAGACCTAAAAGCTCCCCCTCCCTTCCTCTAGTAGATAAGTAGAAGAAAAAAGAGCCAGGTGGTAGTGGTGGTGGCACACACCTTTAATCCCAGCCCTTGGGAGGCAGAGACGGGGGATCTCTAAGAGTTTGAGGTCAGCCTGATCTACAGAGTGATTTCCAGGACAGACTCCACAGCTACAAAGAAGCTGTCTTGGAAAAAAACAACAACAACAACAACAACAAAACAAACAAACAAAAAGAAAAAAAGAGAAAGGCTATACCGGGCAGTGTTGGTACACACCTTTAATCCCAGCACAAGGGAGGTAGAGGCAAATGGATCTCTGTGAGTTCAAGGCTGGCCTGGTCTACATAGTGAGTTCCAGAACAGCTGGGACTACACAGAAAATCCTTGCTGGAGCTAGGGTGAATCTCAAACCTGAGGTCACTTTAGGAATGTGACTGAACTTTCAGTCTAGAGTAAATGCCAGTTTGTAGTGCATCAATCAGAGAACATTGCTAACACCTGGGACCCTCTCATAATCTCAGAGATTAGTAGGGAAGAGAGACCCCGGTACAGACCTGAGTTACGACACAATTTTAGAGACCAAAGAGTAGACTGGGATTGGTGTAGAAATCAATTCCTCCGAGGGGCAACAGAGGAGACTAAATGAGGTAGAAAGACTCCTAAACTCCTATCACCTTGAGTAACCAACCAGTCACATCCACACTGCCCACACGTGGCAATTTAAGACTTGAAGAAACATGGGCTGCTGTTGTAAACACACAAGCCTGCTAGGGAGCTTGTAGCCCTCGGGGGTCAGGTAGCTGGGTCTTCCAGCTTCTTGATTATGTTAGTTCTATCTGGCAACTGCTACGTAGAAGAAAGGCAAATTGTCTTTCTTACTGGGGAAAAGAAGGGATCCCATTCTTTCTGATTAAAAAAAAAAAGATGCTGCAGAGACATGCAACAACCCACACTGTGGTCTCGGGGAGACTGCATTCCTGTGGCCAGGAGTCGTGAAGCTACTCCAGAGAATGGTTACCTGAGAGGCCGCCAATGAGCCATTGTTGGCCCCAGGCCTGGGTCTCAGCTTTGCAGTGTTTGTAGGAAACTCTAGGGTATTCCTAGAACAGATCTGGAAGCCCAGGCAAATGCAGAGAAACACGCGCGAGCACAGGCAGTCTCTGATTCACAGGTGCTGAGGAGTCTGAGCCCTCCAGAGAGACAAAGAAGCCAGAGACTTGGCCGTCAGAAACCCAAATCAAAAGCTGCACATGGTGGCTCACACCTACAATCCTTAGTAGGCTGAGGCAGGAGGATTGCCAAGAGTACAAGACCAGTATGGGCTAGAGTATGACTGTCTCAAAAATATACACAAATCTATAATATTTTTAAAGGAAGGAAAGAAAAGGAAAGATGGAGACACAAATACTTTTAAGAGCTTTTTTTTTTTTAATTTCAGAACGAACACAGGCAATTACTTCCTGATAGCAACAAGCTGTGACTACACAGGCATGAAGTGAGTCACTTCTCACACTTCAGTAAGTCAAGCAGCCGACCACAGGTGTCACAGACACAATTTTATTCAAATTGTGCATAGATCTCTCACATTTTTTTTTTAAAAAAAAACTTTTTATTCTGGTATCAAAATAGTTATCTCTTTAAAATACCTTGAAAAGCTGTAATACAATTATCTTGCCATATATTAAATACTCTCCTAAAATATCAATCATCTCTCTCCCGCCTCTCATAGGCTCTTACCTCCACTGCCATTCTTATTCTTTTCATTTCTTGGCATCTTTGACACTTATCCAAGATAAGCATGAAAGGAAAAGATGTTCCTTACAAGCCCTTTATTTAAAAAAAGAAAGTAAAGGAAGGGGGGAAAGATGGGAAGGAGGGAGGGAGGAGGAGGGGAAGGAGGAAGGTGGGAGTGGGACATAAAGTTAGGAGCCAGCCAGCTGGTGATGTTCAACATGACACCACAAAGTCTTTTTAGTACAGCTATGCTTGCCCTCCACTTACATATACCAAATACCGGTTTTAGCTTGTCGTGCTAATTTGAGCTCAGCAGCACTGTCTACTGGCCAGGCTGACCAAAATCCAACAAGGGGAACCCAACCAATTTGACACTGGGTTATTGGGACACGAGGGGCTGGAAGTCCAGTTAAAGAGACCAAACTTTTTTTTTTCTTTTAGACATCACAAGTCAACTGGATTCTAGAAAATGCACTATGGACACAGGCTTCCTGCAGATTCCCAGGGCACAGCCTGGGAATGCCATCTTCACACAGTACTGAAATGTTCCGTCAGAAGCTGGACTCGGGTAAGGACTTCTTCCGACCTAAGGAAAGAGTGTGGTATTTCACCCTCTGCAAGGTGCCGTAAGAATTCTGTTCCCCAGGAATGGTCCTTTGTGAGGTGCCAGCCGTACTGGCTTTAGGGGGCCTGCTGGCTTTGCGGGGGAGGTGAAGAGAACTGGGTGCAGATCTGATGTCCCTCTCCATGTGGTAGCCCACGCCCCGGGCTGGGCTCTCTCGAATCCTGAGGGCAGGGGATGAGCCTCGAGCTTGCTCGTTCATGGCAGGGCTCAGCCTGTCACTCACCAGGGAGACTGGGGGTGCTGTTGGGGAGCTCTCAGCCCTGACAGCCTTCTTGTGTTCTTTCTTCCAAAACACAGACTTGAGAAGAGTGAACGTCCCCTGTCCCTTGTCTTTGTCAGGGGCCCTTTCCTCCACAGCAGCCCTAGCCTTCATCTTGGGTAAGGTACCTGTGCCGCTGTCCTTAAAGTTTCTGAGCAACCCAGTGGAGGGGGAAGGTGGACTACTCTGGCTGCCCACCTGACCACTTCCCTTCCAGGTTGTCATCTTCTGGCCCTCAGGGCGGCGGGCTTGTTTTTCGTCCCCCACTGAGGACATCACAGTGAGGGGCAGGTCAAACTTTTTGGGGAGTTTGATATCCTGATTTGCATTTCCTGTTCGTGTCCTGACTGTGTTCAGACCATCATCTAAGGATCCCAGGGCTGGATGGTGGTTGAGGTGGCACGAGGAAAGGGGCACCCCGGTTGCTCCTTGACTGATATCTCGACCACTGTCTTCACTTTTAACAGGAAGGGTGCCATCTGGCATAGGCGAAGCTGACTTCTCATCCCCGCCAGCAGCACGTGTCAACAGCGGCACAATGGACTGGCTGGTGGAACGGGGTCTTCGTCTGGACTCGAGGTACTCCACCAGCTCAACAGATGCCCCAGGCCGTTTCTCCCTGTGTCCAAAGGACCATCTCAGGGGCATGGTCTTGAAGGGCCCATGCCTGGATCGGGAAGCAGGCGGTGTCTTTATGTTAATACTTCGGCCACCGACACTCCGAACCAAAGGCTTGGATTCAACCCCTCCTGAAAGAGACACAGAGACTGTGAACACCTAATAGGGGTTTGTGTAGTGCCAGTCCTCAAGCAGTGATGTGTCAGGTGCAGGGCTGGCCACAGCAACTATGGCATGAGCCAGGCACACAGAGTTCCTGCCCTCAAGGCCACTGATGGCTTCATCCACTATCCACAGAATCCATGAACACATTTAAAACCATAGGGAAATCCATGGGAAAAGAAGGGATATGGTATCCACAGAGGATTGCTGCCAGGATCCCAGCAATAGCAAAACCTGTGGATGCATAAACCACTTCTGTAAAACAGAGGGTGTACACATAAGCCACACGTAACCTTCTATAGACTAATTCTTCTCTAGATTATTTATGAGACAGACACACAGCAAATGCCATGTAAACAGCTGTCAAGCTCTATCACTTAGGGAGTAATCACAAGAAAGAAATGTTTGGGCATGTTTAGTACAGACTCCCTCCCCCCCCCCCCCCCCACACACACCTGCAGTTATTGAATCAGCAGATAGGGAATCCTACATGTTAAGGGCTGACTATCTCCACGTGCCCTGCAGCCAGATCACTGAGGGGCTCCCTCAAGTCAACTGCCCTGATATCTAACATCATTATCATCCATCTTTAACTACGTCTATGGACAGAATGATTAGCAAATGTCTCTCAAACTGAGTCATAATTAAGTACTTGTACTTTAAAATGTAAGAGTGTCACATATCCCACAGTGGGCCCAAAAGAAAACAAAGTAATTATAGGCTTCATCTTATCAGATTTGTGCTGTGGGATGATCATTCTGTATGCTGTAAATATATATTCCTCTCTTTGATTAATAATAAAAGCTGTTGGACCAATAGCCAGACAGGATAAGGTTAGGTGGAACAATCAAACTGAGAACTTAGATGAGGAGGGGCAGAGTTGAGAGAGCTGCCAGCCAGAGGCTGGACAGGCAGGATGTGTAGAAAATGAGGTTAGCAATTCTTGAACAATGTGGCAAAATATAGATAGAAATATGAGTTAATTTAAATGTAAAAGTTAGCTAGTAATAAGCCTGAGCTATTGGCCAAGCATTTACAATTAATATAAGCCTGAGTGGCTATTTGGGACTGGGTGGTTGGGACAAGAAACTTCTGCCTACAGAGTGGCATTTTGTGTGTTTTTATATTTTGCAATTACCTGCAAATAGCTAGTGCTTTTGGTATGTAGTCTTAAGTAAGACATTTAGAATCTAAGAAGGCATCATGACATCATGATCCAACTTGCAAACACACACATGCATTCTTTTCTATAGTCCAACCCTTCTAAAGGGAGCATACATGATTGACATCACATGCCTTTCCTGATGTGGGATTCCCCTCTGTATGCTGTGAACATGCTTTATTACCATTGGTTAATAAAGAAGCTACTTTGGCCTATGACAGAGCACAATAGAGCAAGGCTGAAATTCCAAGCAGAGATAGAAGAGGAAAGAAGGCAAAGTCAGGGAGATAGCATGTAGCCACCCAAGAATCAAGGGGTAAAAAATCCACAAGCCTCAAGGCAAAGTATAAAATAGAAATGGGTTCATCTAAGATGTAAGAGTTTGTTAATAAGAATCCTGAACTAATAGGTCAAAGAGTATATAACTAATATTAAGCCTCAGAATGGTTATTTCATAAGTGGCTTTGGGAACAGGCTGGTGGAGAGAAACCAGTCCAGGGGGAACAGCAGGACAGAGAAAACCTTCAGCCATGCTTCCCGAAGAAGGGTCACCATATCCCTGTACTGCCAGAACTGCTTGATGCCTGACTTGGACAACCCACATGTCTGCCCCTGTTCCGCGTGGGCCACGTGATTGTCAGTCAAGTACTGAGCGCGGCACTGGTGCTCACAGCTGGCTGCTGACAATACACAGCTACTCCTGGACTGGGAGTGTTAGGGGCTGAAGGCTTAGACCCCTCCCATTTCACAAGTGGAAACTTTAACCCCCAAGTTCATGCCACAAGAAGTGAGGCTTCAGAAGAGTGTCCTTGTCGGAAGAGGTAAGAAAGACCAGAGCTCTCTCTGACTCTCCCATAACACAACCCACCCGGCCCCTGACCCCATCCTGCAGAGTCATGAGGAGTACATTTTGGTCACGGGAAGGCCCCTGCCTGCCTATTTCTATTACAGCAGTCCCAAAGAGCTATGACAGAGACCAGCTCTGAAGACAATCAAGGACTTTTGCCACAAAACGCCCATGTAGGGAGGTTCTGAGATTCAGGCACACAGGTGTGAGGTCAGCGAGAGATAAGGTCACAGAGCATGCTGGGACAGGAATCTAAATGCACCGGTACACATCTGCCTGGCAGCTGAGAAAGCAGGCCCACAGGGAGCAGCCACACACAGATATCAGAGGTTCCACGGGGATCTCAGCTGCTGAGGTTTTCATATGTCATTTTTAATACCTTTTTCTTTAGAGAAATTTTTATATTGGCCAGGAATAGACCCAATTCCACCCAAAATACTTTGTCATTTCGGTTCGCATTGACCTTGTGGCTCCGCCATTGAATTCTCCACACCTGAGGAAAGATGAAACACGGTTCTGGAGGTGAAGGTGTGTGTGAAGTTTCCTTGTTCCTCATCCTCGGCCCTTAGAAGGGTGGAGAGGGACATTTTGCATCAGGAGGACAAAGCTGTGACTTTTCAACCTTCACCAGGTGGAGTGGCCTAAGCCCTGGCAGGTGGCAAGAAGACCTGATTAGTGCTGTAAATAACCACCTCTCTCTTCTTCCTGGTGTGAAAGGGCCCTGGGCCAGGGCTGACAGCAACCCACATTACAGACACCCAAAGGACCCCTTCAGTTCACCTCTTTTTGGGAAAAAGCACCTACTTGTCCTTTCATCTATTTATTGCCCATAACAGGATCCAAGGTGGGCAGGGATGGAGAGCCTTGGAGAAACAGAAATAAACAGCATAAGCAGAGCAAAAGCAGCAAGCACCCACAGGGCCACCACTCGCTCGCTAACCAAGCATCCCCCCTCTTTCTCAGTACTCAAGCCCTTCCTCTGGGAGATGGCTCTTATGGAGAGCAGGGTGCTAGAAAGAATGGTGGAATCCAGGGAGTCTAAGGATCACAAAGGACCTATAGGGTTTCTTTTTAATATTTATTTTTATTGTATGCGTGTTTTTCTCCACGTACATGTGTTCCATGTTTGTGCCAGGGGCTGTGGAGGTCAGAAAATGGAGTCAGACCCCTGAAAATGGAGTTACAGATAGACTTGAGTGGCCATGTAGGTGCAGGGAACTGAACCCAGGTCCTCTGCAAAAAGAACAAATGCTCTTAACCACAGAGCCACACCTTCAGGCCTCAGGATCTTGCTTTCAGATCATGGGACCACACCTCCAGGCCATAGGGCCACCCCTCCAGCCCACAGAGCCACGCCTCCAGCCAATGGGGGGCACCCCTCCAGCCTAAGGCCTACAATTTTAAGCTGCATCTTCCATGTGATTGTACACACTCTGCAGCAGACACAACGATCCTCTCAGGTCTACAGGAACCCTCTGTGGTACAGGTGGCATCTGTTCTGCTGATGGATACAGCCCCAACCACAGGGCAGCTGCTTCAAGGGATGCCACCTCTGCTCCTGGCCATGTGCGGCCACCTTAATTCTTGTGTCACTTCTGCTTCTTGGCTATTGATGTGAACTGCAAGCTGTTACTCTGTGCTGTGGACCTTAGGGTCTCTTCTCCCCATCTTCACTCACCTTCAATGGGTCACATCTTTCCAATCCCCTAAGGGCTTCCACTGCATCTCATCATCCACCCATCATTAATTCATCCCGAGATATTTAATAAAAGCCAACTGTACACCAAAGGTTATTTCTTAGTGCTTGAAGAAAAAAATACAAATAAGAACCAACACTCAGGAGACAGAGACAGGTGAATCTCTGTGAGCTTGAGGAAGGCCAAGTTTCAGGCCACTCAAGGTTACATAGAGAGAACCTGTCTCAAAAACAACAAGAAAAATTCAAGTAGGAAGTGGCTGGGCTCTTAGGATTTGACAAAAAGCAAAAACCTAAGCTATCGGGTAATACATTAGTAACAGCTGCAATGAATAAGGCCGGGTTAGGGAAAAAAGGGTGTTGCATGAGTTATGAGCAATATTTGAGAGACCTGAGTGAAAGACGTGAGAGATGGAGTTGGGAGGAGATCTGAGGAAGGCAGGCTCCAGACTGCGGGGCAGCAGGTGCAAAGGCCCTGGGGCAGGAGTGACCTTGCTGGCTCAGGCAAGCAGCAGAGAGACCAGAGCTGGTGCACAGGAGAAAGGGGCATGCGCTAGAGGTGACCAGAGCTGGAGCACAGGAGAAAGGGGCATGCGCTAGAGGCATCCAGAGCTGGGGCACAGGAGAAAGGGGCATGCGCTAGAGGCATCCAGAGCTGGGGCACAGGAGAAAGGGGCATGTGCTAGAGGCAACCAGAGCTGGGGCACAGGAGAAAGGGGCATGTGCTAGAGGCATCCAGAGCTGGGGCACAGGAGAAAGGGGCATGTGCTAGAGGCATCCAGCCCCGCACCAGAGCCCCAGTCCTTATTTGGAGATCTCTGTCTCCATCTTCCAATGTCAAAAACAACTTCAGCACTCCTTGTTCCTAGATGGACTGTTCATTTTGTGTTTATGCCTCTTGATGGCCTGGCAACCACTTCTGTATGGAGGGCAACCAAGAACAAGGCCGACTCCAAACTTCCCTGGGTTCCTTAGAAGCTGAGGCAGCAGTATACAACAGATGAGCCAGGCTACTCATCTTCCTCTGAGACTGATCCAGGTGGACAAAGTTGGGCAAGAGAAGGGCTGGATGTGACACCACCAACCCTTGGGAGCCAAAGTCAACATCTCTTCTTCACCCCCCAAATTATTCCAAACTAGAGAGGGAAGAGCAGAGCCTTGTGGGCAGAAACAGAAAAATGTGACAACAGGGACCAACTGGGTGTGGTGACTCAGACCTACAGTCCCATCCCTCAGGAAGTTCAGAGATTATACAACCCTGGCC